TTCCCATAGGGTTTTTTCCTAATGAGGTTTTTAACGAGGCACCTCCCCATTGTGGATCAAAAGGTGTCAACCCTCGGCCCCCTATTGAAGACATGCACTATTCTACTCCTCTTCGCCTCACTACATTCACCTCAAGGAGTGGGGGACTGGGAGATCGGGGGACTTAGCGCCTCCACAAGCGGAAAAGCACAAATTCAAAAAACAATTCGCAAGTTTTTGCCACATGCACCGACGACATCATCACATCATATGTAGATTTGTCTGCCACATCAGCTAGTACATATACATAGCTCCCCGGCCTCAAGATTGGTTGTGATGGTCTCTGGCCTGCGACCTTCGGCTGAGGATTCTCCCACGGGGTTGCCTCAGTCAGGGCTCGCCGATGGGATCGGATCATCGGCTTGGGAATCCGGGTAAAGCGCTTCGGCGACGACATCAGTTTACTCACTAGACGACGACAGATCAGCACACAATTCTACTCTCTTTCGCCTTGAGTACTCTCGACTCAGAGAGTGTGGGACTCCTGATAGAGTATATAGACTCGGACCCCGGGTATCACGACTATTGGGCCCAGACAACGGCCCACATATGCTCAGTATATAGCATTTATTTCATTGTACACTGTATTTATGCATATGTATCCATTAGAATAGATTAGATACCTTTTATTAGCCATTTATTGGCCTTTTATTGTAGTTGGGCCTTCCAGGCCCAAGCCTGGAGCCCAACCCTCTTTTCTCCTATTAATACTCCCTATGGGAGCCATGTAAAAGATGGATGGTTGATAGTTGGTAATTGGAAGTTGGAAAATATATCACTTTCTCTCTCTAGCTCTCCCTTCTATCTGGATTAGAAATAATCTATCAGTTAGTTTCGGGTTTAATCAAACTTTTAGTTTAGTTTTTGTATATCTTAAGTTTAAGTAGTACTAATATGTTTGGACTAAGGCGTGAATGTTTTTTTATAAGATGAAATTACTTTATCATTGGATGGTAAATCATACTTTCCAATATGCAATGGACTTGAGGTAATATGTATTTTCTTATATAATTTAGGAGACATTTATCCGGAAACAATTAAGTACTTAGTTCATTTGCAATGAAAGTTTATGAAGCAAGTTCAAGATATTGAAATAAATAAAAGGCTGATACATGTTGTGCATATTATTGGGCATTTTATCTATCGGGCAACATGTGTGTTACAAAACTAGTAGTAAAACAAATGTCAGCAGGTGAACCACGGTGAAACAGGTCTGCTATGAGACCACTGTAATATCTGGCGCCACTGCCCCTAATCTGCCGCCGCTTACCTCTCACCTGATGCCGCTGCCAACCCCTAATCTGACGTAGACGCCAACCCCTAATCTCCCACCGCCGCGGAGCCCTCATTTGCCGCCGCCGACATCCGGCGAGTCCCCAATTGGTGCCGCTGCATCCCCCCTAGAATCCTCTGGAACATGCCATGTGAAAAGATACAGACATTGAGGTGACTGGTGAGGCTTGTGCAGCACCACCGCCTTAATGGCCACTGCAAATGGTGGATGCGTCCCCTGCTCTTTGCGGCTCTTCAAATTATATGCGAGTGCTACTTGTTTGATGTCTAGTGACTTGTTTGATGTGTGTTCTTATTGAGGCGGTGGTCCACATATGTAAAGTACTTGAGGCAGTGGTCTTTAAATATAATGGGCAATTAGTTTGATGAGTTTTTTGGAATAATTTGTTTGATGTTTTATGGTCATATATTTTTAATATTAGTGATAATTCCATTTTTAGTCATAATATTGCCATCTTTCAGAATATTATTGCCATTTCGATGACCATTGGTTGGTGTAATACAGAGTATTACATATGGTCATCTTTAGAAATTAATTTCTATGGACGTCATAGAAATTAATTTCCCTTTTGGACCAAAATTTGTGGTTTACAACAATTCTTACACATTTCCCTCTCATCTGCACAACTCTCCACCACACAATACCCATTATCATAAACTGTGTGCCAAACCTATTTTGAAGCTTAATCGTGAACGGAGGGAGTAATAGATAAAATTTAGTTAATCTACGTATCTAACAGTTCCTTAACAATTTTGCAGATATATTTTTACATGAATCGAGAACGGAAAAGATAATAATTAATGTTGAAATTGAAGGAAGTCATAACGATATTGTGCGATTCGGTTTGCCGGTTCTGGATTACAAAGTCTTAATCCCAGGGAAAAGTTTTAAAGTTTGAAGGGTAGAAAGTCATTTTACAATTTTAGCCTCCAAAAAGAAGGATAAAAAGTACTCATAGTTTTAGTTTAGAAATACGACTTCTTTAGAGGTCCCCATTTGGAGCCCATTTGGTAATATCCAAATCGGTTGTATTGCAGATTTTATTGAAATTTATGAAGTTCTGGCTGTAGTGGTTGTTTTGACTGATTCTACTGAAATTTATGAAATTATGACTGAAGTGTCTGCATTGACTGATTCTGTCGATTTATGAATACAGTATATTTAAAATATATATTAATAGATTAAGAAAAAATAATATGAAAAATCAGTTAAAATGATCCCATACAGTAACTTCAGTCAATACATCTAGAAAAGTAACTTCAACCTCACTTTTTCTTATTATTACACAATTCAACGCGTGAAATAAAAAATTATGTGTTTGGTCAAAAATAGTTGATAAGTCAGAAATCAATGTCCCCAAACGGCCCCTTAATTTAAGAGGTAATATAGGTTTGCGCTCCAAATTGAACTTTGCACTCCATTTTTTAAAAATTTTGTTTTTGCAACCCAACCTTGTATGAAAAGATAAAAATACCCTTGGATCATGATATGTTGAAGGTCATTAGAATTGTTTATGGAGATGCATTTTTGTCTTTTCATATGGGATTAGGGTGCAAAAACAAAGATTTTTATAAACAGGGTGCAAAGTCTATTTGGACAATAATATGGGGTGCAAACTCAAATTATCCCATATTTTTAATATTAGTGATAATTCCATTTTCAGTCGTAATATTGCCATCTTTCAGAATATTATTGCCATTTTGATGACCATTGGTTGGTGTAATATTACATATGGTCATCTTTAGAAATTAACTTCTATGGACGTACTACTCCATTTTTAGGGAATAACTCCTATTACCGCTATTAAGGGAAATTTTCTCATATTTTTAGGAGTATCATTGTCATCCTTGTCATATGGGAAAGTATGAAAATAATGCCATTTTCATTGATTTTACTGCCATAAAATGGCAATATTGGTGAAAACATCATTTTCGGGGTGAAAAACACTGCATAAATTGCTTTAACTAAATTATATACTCCCTCTGTATTTAAAAGTTTCATACACTTTCCTCTTCTGGTAAGTTTTTCTTTTAAAAATACCCAATTACTAATACTTTTTCTACTTTTTATCCTCTCTTTCATACTTTTTCACCCTCTCTCCAACTTTTTCTATATTATTCATTACTCCTGCTATTCTTCCTTAATTCTTGTGCCCAAAGTTAATGTATGGAACAAAAAGAATACGGCGGGAGTATCTTTAGACTAAATTAAATTAGTAAATTTGATAATCCCTCCGTATTTAAAATTTCCCTGCACTTTTCTTTTTAGGATGTATCTAAAAGTTCCCTACACTTTCCCCTTTGGTAAGTTTTTCCTTTAAAAATACTCAATTACCCTTACTTTTTCTACCTTTTTATCCTCTCTTTCATACATTTTCACCTTTCCTCATATTTTTTTATACTATTCATTACCCTTATTATTCTACCTTAAATCTTGTGCCATACCAAACGTAGCGAACTTTTAAATGCGGAGGGAGTATATAAATAAATATTAAAATATATTCCATATACTAATCCGTAATAAGTACTCCCTCTGTCCCTAAATAAACTTCCAACTTTCCTTTCTCGTCCGTCCCAATTAAAACTTCCATTTTCCCTTTTGGGCCAAATTTCGTGGTTTACAACAATTCTTACACATTTCCCTCTCATTTGCACAACTCTCCACCACACAATACCCACTATCTTAAACTGTGTGCCAAACTTATTTTGAAGTTTAATCATGGACGGAGGGAGTAATAGATAAAATGTAGTTAATCTACGTATCTAACAGTTCCTTAACAATTTTGCATATACTCCGTATATTTTTACATGAATCGAGAACCGAACAGATAATAATTAATGTTGAAATTGAAGGAAGTCATAACGATATTGTGCGATTCGGTTTGCCGGTTCTGGATTACAAAGTCTTAATCCCGGGGAAAAGTTTTAAAGTTTGAAGGGTAGAAAGTCATTTTACAATTTTAGCCTCCAAAAAGGATAAAAAGTACTCATAGTTTTAGTTTAGAAATACGACTTCTTTAGAGGTCCCCATTTAGAGCCCATTTGATAATATCCAAATCGGTTGTACTGCAGATTTTATTGAAATTTATGAAGTTCTGGTTGAAGTGGTTGTTTTGATTGATTCTACAGAAATTCATGAAGTTATGACTGAAGTGGCTGCATTGACTGATTCTGCCGATTTATGAATAAAGTATATTTAAAATATATATTAATAGAGTAAGAAAAAATAATATGAAAAATCAGTTAAAATGATCCCATACAGTAACTTTAGTCAATACATCCAGAAAAATAACTTCAACCTCACCTTTTTTTTATTACACAATTCAACGCGTGAAATAAAAAATTATGTGTTTGGTAAAAAATAGTTGATAAGCCTGATAAGTCAGAAATCAATGAACCCAAACGGCCCCTTAATTTAAGAGGTAATATAGGTTTGTGTTTCCAAAAGTTATAAGTTTAATAAAAAAATTGGTTGATAACCCGGATAAGTTAGAGGTGTCCTCAAACGGCCCCTTAATTTAAGAGGTAATACTCTGTACATGTTTGTATTTCTAAAAGTTATGTGTATGATAAAAAAATTGGTTGATAAACTTATAATTTATAAAATGTGCGTCTCCAAACAACCTCTTAATTTAAGATTTGCTTTAATAAACCTGACAGTCCAAAAGTTATAGGTTTGCGTTTCTGAGCCCAGTGCGATTCCATATCGGAGTCACATGGCGTTGACACAGAAGGCGCGCAAAGGGTTTACTTATTTTCCTCTATGGCATCAGATCAGCGTTTTTATTCCTCCGAAACAGATCAACCTGTAAGCTTCGAATCATTCTCGTTTCTTTGAAATAGAAATGACGGATTAACAATATTAAATGGTGAATCATGAATAAATTTAGAATGCTAACCATTTAGCTCGTCCCTGTTTATAATTTTTTTTCTTCAGTTGTGCCTTTTGAGTTTGATCTGCCCCTAGCTCATGAGTTGTGTTCTGTTTTCTCCAGATCTTAAAATTGCTTATTTGGCTTGCTCTCACTAGTTTTGTATCTAGTAAGGGATTGAAAATATATAGAGATTTTGAATATAGCTGCACAGGTTGACATTGAAATCGCCAAATTCACCGAATATCCTTAACACATTGAAAGCATGTTAACTTTAATTTAAACATATCAATCAATCAACACAAAGAGCCCTTTTAGTAATAATGAAATTGGTTGATTTGGCTTATTCGGTTGAAATTTATTAAATTTTGGTTGCAAAGTGTGCATGTGCTAATTTTGTTAATTTATGAAATAAATAATTAAAAGATTATATGAAAAAATTGCTAAATTAGTCATCTTCAATAACTTAAGCCAATGAGCCAGAAAAGTAACTCCGACCTTACTTATTATAGTTATTACACAATTCAGCGATCATCTATTACGAATCTCTCTTTAGAGATAGAAGCTCCGATTTTTCCTAAGGCGCGAGCCGCGGGGTGTTGTTTTCCGATTTCGATCTCTTCGATCAAAGATCGGCTTTTTGTTTGCTTTGACGATTTCATACCAAGACAGCAGGTGGCCGGCGTGTGTCTGAGGGCTGGGTCGCGGTGTGAGGGATAGGGGCTACTGTTTCGGTGCGGCTGAGGATGAACAAAGGGAAGGGCATCGAGATTGACGGAGGAAACATGGAGAAACTGATCAGTCTCCCCCTGCTAGGGCTTAGAGCTTTTCCGATGGGCAATTTTCAAGCGCAGATCAATGGTGAACAAAAGGACAAGAACGAATTGACGGGTGATGATGAGGCCGAAGAGGCGGTCGAGTCAGAGGAAAACCGCTTTGGTGAAACGACAATTGTTGTGAGGGACCGGCCTCCTCCAGACCCACCGCCAAAGATTGATCGACACGTTTTGGAGTTTGCTTATAATTTATCTTTTCTTCATTTTAATTATGTTGTAAGGTTCTTGCATTAGGTTTGGGGATGAGAGGTGTATGATAATCGTTGTTTACTTTAAGTTGGCCAGTTCAAGTCTAGCGAGTTATAGTGCTTAGATAAAGGTGGTTAACTCTGAGTCTCGGCCAATGACGGATGGTTATTTGTGGTTCTTTTATTATTCTGTATCCCTGTTGAATGTTATTTTATTAATTTAAGCCCCCTTCGATAAAAACCACCGATCATCTATCGTGCCGAAGTCAAGCTTCATTTGTATAGCTCATCAAGCTCGAACCAAACACCATTATTACTTAAACGAGTGAAACTCAAGATCTAGATGTTTGGGATCTGTTCGGTTTAGCAGCTGTAATCAAAACCAAAATACTCCCTTGATAGAAACTCAGATGTTGTAACAGTAAATTGAGGAGTAATATTGATGTAAAACTGAGAAATGAAGAAGATGATACAGATGAGGCACTCAGCTCTCCAAAACCAATTCCCGATTCCAAAATCAGCCCCCTTCCCTATTCTCCCCTTTCCCCTCTTATAGAAATTATATCCTAATGGGCCAGCCCACATTTTATGACATGGCCCAGGATCCTTATTTGTACACTATTACAGTCTTTATCTATTATTCTAGTATTCTTATTAGTAATAGTATCTATATTCCTATCAATACTCCCCCCTGAACAACCACCTTGTCCTCAAGGTGGAGAGTAAGAACCAGCCATGCCATTCAACTTCTTTCTCGCGCCTCTTCCTTCCTAGTATCTCCCTGTTGATTTGACCATGTGCTTCAATGCTTGCAACTTTAAAATGAAGGATGTTTTTTTTGCAGAAGTTATATCTGGAGAAGTTTTATTTTCTTTAGTCGCCTAATCGCCTTTAAACCTTCAATAGCAACAAATAGCTCCTTTTGATGTTCTTTTCTGTCTGTAACAGTTAACTGCTTTGATATTGTTGCTTCCAGATTTTTCAGAAACAAACCATCATTCCCATCAAGTATAATCTCTATTCCATTTTGAATCTTCTTCATACAAATATCACTGTCAAATTTGAAACCATCAGTCTTATTCAGCCCCACCACAGTCAGGTTTGATGCTCTTGCACACAAGTTGTCTGTGCAACTTTGCCAATATAAACTTTACTTCCAGATATAGCATATTCACTAATTTTTGAGCCAAATGGATCAAAGGAATAGCAAAAAGAACTACTGTGAGTGGAAACAAACTCAACCCTGTCTTCCACAACCCTGATTCTATTTGCCAATCACCATGCCCAATAACTATCATCTGAAAGAAGTGAAGGGGGGTTAAAAAAACTGGTCCCAGAAATTTCAGAAAGATTCCATGTATAAGCAGTTATCTCTGCTCCTTCCCCCACGTAAACCCATTCATTGTGGTCCCAGAAATTTCAGAAAAGCACTTAGAGCTTTTCTGATGGGAATTTTCAAACGCAGATCAGCGGTGAACAAAAGGACAAGAACGAATTGACGGGTGATGATGAGGCCGAAGAGGCGGTCGAGTCAGAGGAAAACTGCTTTGGTGAAACAACAATTGTTGCAGGGTCCGGCCTCCTCCAGACCCACCACCAAAGATTGATCGACGCGTTTTGGAGTTTGCTTATATTTTCTCTTTTCTGCATTTTAATTATGCTGTAAGATTCTTGCATTAGGTTTGGGGATGAGAGGTCTACGATAATCGTTGCTGACTTTAAGTTGGTCAGTTCAAGTCTAGCGAGTTATACTGCTTTGATAAAGGTGGTTAACTCTGAGTCTCGACCAATGGCGGATGGTTATTTGTGGTTCTTTTATTATCCTGTATCCCTGTTGAATGTTATTTTATTAATTTAAGCCCCCTTCGATAAAAAACACCGATCATCTATCGTGCTGAAGTCAAGCTTCATTTGTATAGCTCATCAAGCTCGAACCAAACACCATTATTACTTAAACCAGTGAAACTCAAGATCTAGATGTTTGGGATCTGTTCGGTTTACCGCTGTAATCAAAACCAAAATACTCCCTTCATCCCATTGGAGTTTGCCAACTTTCTTTTTTTCATTGTCCCAAAAAACTTTGTTACTTTTCTATTAAAGCAACTAATTTGTGGTTCTGCACATTTTTCTCTCCTCTGCACAAATCTCAACCACACTGTTTTTACTATTCTGATTTTTGACCTACTTTGCACTAGGCAAAGTTCACCGAGACGGAGGTAATATGTCATTTTAGATTGTTTTATTGAGGTAGTACTCGAATCAAAACGATCCTTGAGTTTTGAACAATAATTCACTTCTCTTCTTCAACCTTTACAATGTTCCTTCATAGCAGCTTCTACAACATCTACGTTAGGGTTAGGACCCCTAACGCAGGCTCACAAATCTTAAAAACTAGAAGAAAAGCCAGAAGAATGGTAGAAGACTTTAATGTGGTTCAGCCAATAGATGTTATTGACTTGATCCACGGGGCAGCTAGCTTTTTCTTTCTTATAATGAGTTTTTTCAAGTATAAGAGTCAATATATTGGCAAACAATTATGATAAACTCTTAACTAAACTATGAGCTTGACTGCCATGAAAGAAAAGGCCGAGCTAGGGCCGGCTGCATGTCCTTGTTTATTTGGCCAAAGCCTATATCCCAACAATCTCCCACTTGGATGCTTCGAAAATATGTTCAACTACACTCCACTCCTCCATACTTCTATAAACACCATTTGTTCTCTAGATCCACCTAGTTGCTCCTTGCCTTTTCAATGTTATTCCTCAAGGCCAGTTGAAGCCATGCAAAGCTGAAACTTCTTGGTTGTCACCACCTTCGTAAAAATATTAACAAGATTCTTTGTACCAAGAATCTTCGTTTGTAGCAACTCTCCATCATTTATCAACTCCCCGATAAAATGATACTTCATCTTGATTCTGGGCGACTGCTTGTCACAATAAAGAACACAATCTTTATGTTCTAAACCAAACTCTGATACAAGTTCTTCAATCATATAAGCTCTTTGCTTGTTTTTGCGATCACCATATATTTTGGCTCTATGAATAGCCAACTCTTCTGTAACTTGGACATCTAATTAATAGTAGTTCCTCCCATTATGAACATATAACCAATAGTTCTCTTTCCAAAATATTGACAACCGCCCAAATCTGCATCTGTGAAGCCCTCTAAGATAACATCTTTCTCGCTGAAACATAATGTTGTCTTAGATGTGCCATTCAAGTAACGTAGTAACCACTTGACTACTTCTGAATGCTACCTTCCTGGATTTGACCCAAATCTGCTAACAACTTCATTGCATGAGAAATATATGGTCTTGTGCATGCCATAACATACATCAAACTGCTGACTGCATAAGGAACCTTTTCCATAAGGAACCTTTTCCATTTCTTCCTTGTCTTTATCCATTTTAGGTGATTACTTCTTAGTAAGTTTAAAATGACTTCCTAAGGGTAAAAGGGTACTTCTAGCTTTAGGTTCTTTCTGATTGAATTTCTCTAGCACCTTCCCGATATATTTTTCTTGAGATAACTTTAAGGTACCTTTTGCTCTATCTCTAGTGATGCTCAAACCAAGAATCTGCTTAGCAGTTCCCGAAGTCTTTCATCTCATTTTTTTGAGATAACTATTTCTTGATCTTGTTGACTTTTCTCATGTTTGGTCCTCTAATCAACATATTCTCAACATTTAACAACAAGATGATATAGGAGGATTTGAATTTCTTCAAGTAACAACAATGATGCAAAGACATTTCATATAGCCACTCCTTTTCATAAAGTTGTCAAACTTCATGTACCACTGTCTTAGTGCTTGATTCAACCCGTAGATACTTTTCTTCAGTTTGCAAACCAAGTTTTCTTTCCAAGCTATCTCAAAACCTCCTGGTAGCATCATGATAATATCTTCACCACGATC